GTTATTTGTTAATGAAGCTGACTAGCATATTGTTTAATAATATGTCTCGCCGGTGCTGCGAAAAGAGCGAGCCTCGTGGACACAGACAAAAGGTACTGTGAGGCTTTTAATTTTTTTTTTTTACTGAGAATAGCGGAATTCATTCATCCACCTGATGACGAGTCTGCACATCGATGGCATGTTCGCGGTATGATATGAGTCCATAGAATCACTTGTTTAAAGTTTAATTCAAAAGTGAAGCTGAAAATCGGTAAATTTAACGAGCACTTCCAGAGGCACTTTTCTCGTTTCAGTCGACAATGTGAAATGAGGTCACGCAATGAGGTCACGTAAGAAAGGGCAAACTAGCAATATCGCACCTTATTGAGCGAGAGGTTGCTTCGAAAGCTCATGGATTGGCTTGCAGCGTGCCTTAGTGTGCAGGGGCGAGGCGTAGGCAGCAACTTTTTCTCGGAGGAGGGGCGTGGGGGTGAGAGGAGGCACGTCCTTGATTTGAAGTTGGGGCCGGGTGTGCAGATGTGGGCGAGTGCCATTTTGTGCTTCGTATACCACGACGAAAAACAATAAGGGGGGGGGGAGGGCAAGGGCCTGATGTGTTACCCCATGGCTACGCCACTGCTAGCGTGTCACTGATGAAGACCGCAAGGTACTGTCAGTATGAGGTAGTTGCCATAAGCCACACGGGCCTGTATAGTAAGGGGGCATAAAACCGCTACCTCCAAATTTTTTCACTTCTACCCATCTGCATGCATGGGAGAGGGAACATCACTCCCCCCACCGCTCACACTCCCTTCTAACCCCTCCACCCCCCTAAAAAAAAAATATGAAATGGAGTTGACTAATGATTGCCTTCGGCGGCACAGAGTGGGTTTACGAGCCAAACGTTTCTTAATGTTTCATCACAGTCTTTATTTCTTTTCTATTTATATTTATTAATTCTGATCCTTACGTTTTTTTTTCATTTAAAATGCTTTTTCCTGTCTACTTTCCCTGACTTATACCAGCCTACGGGATTTTCTTATAATTAATCATGATTCAACTGACGCGCATGTCTTTATGTTGGTGTCACTATAGCTATCAATTATCAAGAAAAGAAGTGTACATTTAGGGGCTCGTTTTCTCTTTGTTAGACACAATATTGATGATATCTAAAAGAAAATCGTGCCTAGGAAAGTATAGGGTATGTTATTATAAGTGGTAATGAAATTGTGAATTAAAGAAAGTGGGCGAAAAGATAACTTGCCGTGGCCAGGGACCGAACCTGCGAGCTTCGAATAATGCGTCCGATGATCTACCACCAACTGAGCTACCACGACTGCTGTCCCCCGTCTACTTTATGGGATACGTATGTTCATTAAGCGTGAGAGTGTAATGCACATATCCCACTAAAGTAGACGGCGAATAGCCGTTGTGGTAGCTCAGTTGGTGGTAGATCACCGGACACGTTATTCGAAGCTCACAGGTTCAGTCCCTGGCCATGGCAAGTTATCTTTTCCGCCCACTTTCTTTAATTCATAATTTCATGACAATTACTTATAATAGCATCCCCTATACTTTCCCTTGGCATAATTGTCCGTGAGATCTCATAACTATATCAGTTATGTTAATTATATATTTATATCCGACCGTGTTAAAGTTGACAGGCGACCGAAACAAGAGCTTTTTTTCATTTTTTTATTTTTTAATGTCTCACTTGGCGCTTGCTTAAAAAAAAGAAAGACAGCTTCGCCCATGGGCGTTATCAGAAGCAACAAACACTAAATAAAAGCAGAGCATACACTACATTACATAATGACGCCTTGCAAGATGTAACAGGGCTGGACCCTGAGCATGCAGCATGGAAGAACGAACAACAATGCATGTGTCGGGCTAACAGTTCATCGCTCGGTCTTGACGTGCCTGCAGAGCAGGCACCGCCATGGCAGAGCGAATCAACTCACAGACGATGCGTTGGGCGGACCGTATAGTTTCTTAATAGCGCACTCGAAGTAAATGTAGCACTAGTGCCCATGGGAGCTGCAACGCGTGGCGCTCAAGCTAGCGCGGAAATTCGCAAAAGCTTCACTTTTCAGGCTTACCCCCGTATTCAGAAACGCTCCTCGACTCGAATTCCATCTTTCACTTGACTGAGTTGAGCACTGCGCCGCTGCTCGACTGAAATTGACGCTGCGCTTCTCAAGAACCGCTGCAGAATATTGCCGATATGCAGTGACTTGGTCTGCCAAGAGACAGCGCTCCCATCGTTTTTTTTCAAGTCGAGGAGAGCTCTTGAGTGAAGGAGCGTTTGTGAATACTGGGGTTAGAGTGGCTTGAAACAGCTTTGTCTCAAGACGAAGCTCGCGGTAGGCAGGAAAAGTTCAGAAGTACCACTTAACCACCTTGACCCGTTTAGACTCGCGAGTTTTAATCAGCTCACGATGTTTCAGAACAAACCATTCTTTGATCCAAAACAAAAGCCCAAACACAACAAAAACCAAGGACACAAGTGCGATCGCAGCCTCAAGAACAAATGCGCATTCATGAACGACCAATCGTTTCCATGGTGGCTGAACAATTGCAACACCAGTTTCTTCTAGTAAATATTGCAGGAAACTCTGTGGGACCAACATGGTGAGGAAACAGGCAAGTGGAATGGTTTCACGTAAAGTTCTCTTGCTAAGGCTGGCTGCGTAAAGCCGTGTCCTCTCCTAAGGACAGCTAAAGTTGTTGGCGAGTACTCCACATAATAGAAGGTAAGGCATGCAAACAAGGACACAAGAAGAGGGAACAAGACAACACAAACGTTGACTACCAACTGGAAGGGTGCACTGCAAAAGCTAATCTGCGCATGCGCTGTTACGGTATTACCACACGCCAGTCCGGCAAAGAGTGTCTACGTAGGAGATAGATCTATGAGCATTTTTTGAATCGGTCTGGAAAACTTGCCCACACGAACGCTTACACCTCTATCAATATAGGTTTTTTTTATTGTTGCGCCAGTATATTATTATTAGTAGTAGCATTACGGTTCATTGTCGCAAAGGCTACTGCACCAAGGAAAAATGTAAATGCATGGGTGTGCCAGTGTAACGTTATGCATTCGTCGAATTTCATTTACACAGTAAACAATGTAAACACATATAGAACGGCGAGTATCCGGTTAACGACCTCGTACGCTCCATCAGTCTCCGGTTGTCTGCTCCGCGTAAACCACCGCAGTTAAAAATGCCTTTTTCACTTGGCAGGAGTGGCATTACCGTGATTTCGCTTTAATGAGTAACGTGGCAAACCACTTTTGTGGTGAGGTAATTTTGCAACACAACGAATTACTTTGAGCCTGTAAATAAAAAATACTATTACTTTCCAAGTTACTTTTGACCACCCGGTTTCCTTGTGGCATAAAAATTAGCACAGGGAAGTAAAATTACAAATCCAACCTAACCTGAGTGCCAAACCTCAAACAAATAAAGTTGAAGAAAGATCTCCAAGATTTCAATATACATGTGCTGTAAACTGCACGTGAGTTGGTGCATCAGTGATGAACTTTTGTTGGAATAATAGTGACGCAGTGTCATCACTTTCAGGCCGCTGTAACTTGTGGTGGCACTTAATTACATTTCAGAAAATTTTAAAGCGGGCTAGTCGTTATATTCAACCTGTTTTATAGTCCAGGACAAATGCCTCTCCCAACGATCTCCAGTTAACCCTATCCTGCGTTAACAGATTCCATTTTATACATTTGAACTTCCTAATTTCGCCGCTTCATATAACTCTCTGCCTTCTCCGATTGTGTTTTATATGCCTTAAATGGTAACCATATTGTTGCTCTTATTTTCTGTCCACCGGTTGTCTGTTCTACGCATCACATGGTCAGTCCAGGTCAATTTCTTTCGCTCGATGTCGACTAGGATGTCTGCAACCCTTGATAATTTCCATGACCTATTCTGTAGTCCTACAATCTCTTAGTGTTATTCTTATCATTTTACGTTCAATTGTGTGTTGCATGGTCTCCATCTTTCGCTCTAGTTGCTTTGCTGTCTTCCATGCGTCAGTCCCTTATGTCAGAACTGGCAGTAGGCAATGACTGCATACTTTTCGCTTTAGTGACAATGGCACATCTTCTAAAATTCAGCAAAACGTTATTCAGGCCTAGTTGGTGCATATTCCTGAGTTAAAATTAGCAGCGCAAACCCACAGGACGCTCTATTTAGAAAAGACATGGCACGCACAAGAGCTGTATGTCGTGTCTTTTCTATGTGGGGCGCCTTGTGTGTTTGCGCTGGTAATTGTTACTTTTGACACTATTCGGAAGTGCCTTCCGAACGCCTTCCTGCCTATTGTAATTCTTCGGCAAGTTTTTTTTTTCTGTGATTGAGCCCACCTTTTTATTAATCGTAGCGTAAAACAGCGGAATACAACGAAGACAAGAAAGGCTAAACAGACCAATGACCAAGGTAGACAATTATTTTTTCCTTTCTTTTTATTTTTTTAATCAATGGGTTTCTGGCGTCTTTTACCTCTTCTTCTTTTTCTTTAAATTGCGTTTCATGCTTGTTTCTGTCTTTAATGTTGCAAATCGTTTGAATTTTCCTTAATATTTGACAGTGCGACCAACACCCCTTGTGGCTATGAGCCATTTTATTTCTCAGGTGCAAAACAAACAAAACACGACCAGCGCTGACATTTACGTTCCATTGATGCGTCGACCAGCGCTATTTGGTCTTGCGTCCATTGGATTTCGCGTTTTTACGCCGATTATGTACGAATAAGCTAAAGTTCATACGCTTTTATAACTCAGCTTTCTGTACTTGTCCTTGATATACAAATTCTAGTAGACACTCTCATCTACGGTTTACAATCGCGAACTCGTTCTATTTCGCAAGGATTTTCAGCATTGGCTTTGTCATCATTATAATTAATTATCGGCTTGCTTTCTCAGTTGTTTCTCAATAATTTTGGCGCTTCGTCACAATGGTTAGTGAAGAGTACTATATTATAATTAGGCAGCTTAATTACATTACAATATATGACATTTGTGTCTTGTTCCCTACTCTTCTGTCCGCGTTCGCAACGCCTTACCTTACGTTAAGATGCCCTCTCCTAGAGTACTTCCCCCCTTCCACGCGTTCCACTGTTGTACGGTCAGACGAAGTTCTCGTCCAAGTAGTGCTGGAATCCGTTCCGCAGCGGGTCCGACACCAGCGCCCTCGCTTGGACCGGGAAACTCTTGAGGAGCAGGGTGGCCGCCGCCGACATGAGCAGCCCGTACGGCCACGGTCCGCTCACCGTGACATCGGCGCCAATCAAGTCGGTGACACGCACCGCCACCACGCGGATGGGAGACGCGGCGGAGCGGGCCGCTCGTCTCCGAGGCAGCAGCACCGACGTCTTGAGCGACATGTGTCGAGCGAACACGGACACCGTGCCTTCGGAGCTGCGAGAATGAAGGGAACTCGGCATGAAATTTCCTCTCTCGCTCGGCAATATCGAGAACGTGCAAGTAACTCCGCGCCTGACAAGCGAATGACCGAATTTGAAGTTAGTAAGCGCACTTGGTATTGGCAGATAGACAGGGCTTACTGGAACTTGCGGGGTCTCGAATTGAGATCGCCGCTCCTGAAACACACGGACATGTCAGACACAGTCGAACCGAACCAAAGACAACGTGTACATTTTCTCGATTATTTTTCACATCAATGTTATCGTCAGCTGAATCAAATACATCACTAGTGATGAGCACGCTAAACACAACCTTATACAATGTTCTAATGCACTCAATCAACACAAAAAAAAAAAAAAAACGCAAGGTAACGTGACGGCGTCGTCGCCAACGCTCGACTCACCACGGAAAACGACCAGTGGCGCCATCCCCGTGAGCCCGCCGACGGAAGACGACAGTTCACGCCTGTCGCCACACGCCAAAAAGAGCCTCTCATGTCTCGTGTGCGTGCCTCGCCGCCAGGCGCCGCCAGTTGGCGCTACCGCGCTTACCGCGATGGCGATTACGGCGGTGAACTCTCGCGAGCAAACGCGCCACCCACTACGTAATGGTTGTTAACCCTAAAATACGGCATATCCGCAACACGTGTGTGCCATGAGGCGCAAACGACTTTACAAGCGGTGATAAGTTCACCCCCACAAACTGCACTAAGCGCACCTAAACATCTCCTGGAAATACGAAGAACAAGCGCGTTATTTTCTCCCGGCGTCTCCCGTCTTTGTGTCGCAATTGATGACGTCAGCTGTTTCTTCGTGTGACGTCAGGGTGAAATAAGCTTTCGTTTCGTCGATGTACGAGAGATATCTGTTGTGAATTGTAGCCTACCAGGTTTTGCCATACAGCAGCTTCATAGTCTAATTGGTAGCTCGCCCGTTCTGCCTTGTCTCGCATGAATGTCGCGAGCGATGAACTGATTTCACTTCGCTTTCTGCGTTTGCGACTGCGCAAGCTGAGATAGTAGCGTGCAGTCGAAAAGCGCAATATCCTGACTGGCTAAACGCTCAGTGCTGGCATTGTTATCCAAAGAAACAAGGGCCAACGAATAGATAGCGCTCGTAGGAAGGGAAGCGAAGGCCTTTGAACACGATGTAGTTTACCCTCGTATTTACAAACACTCCTTGACTCGACTTCCACCCTTCCCTTGACAGAGTTGAACACTACGCCACCGCTCGGCTGAAAATGACGCTGCGCAACACAAGAATCTCAGAAGTTTATCGCTGATATGCAGTGTCTTGCCGTGCCTAGAGACGGCGCTCCCATCGGCTTTCTCAAGAACAGGTGAAGCGTTTAGTGAAGGGACGTTCTAGAATACGGGGGTTAGGGCCCTTTGAACACTGCCGAATTTAAAGACGAGATAGCGGTTTTTCTTCTCTTCTTTCCTACCCTGAATTCCCTCAACCGTCATGACCTCGTCGTCACTGATTTCATCATACCAGGTTAACGATGTAAGCGCCAAGTGCTGAACTTATCGTCATTTCGTGCTTTTAGGCGGCACGCAGTTACCTCCGCTTTCGCAATCAGAAGCGCTCAAAGTGAAGTCGGTTTATGATAATAATTCTTGGGGTTCAACGTCCCAAAACCCCCATATGTGATTATGAAAGACACCGTAGTGGAGGGCTTCGGAAATTTCGACCACCTGAGGTTCTTTAACGTGCGCCCAAATATGAGCACACGGGTCTGCAGCATTTTCGCCTCCATCGAAAATGCGGCCGCCACGGCCGGGATTCGATCCCGCGACCTACGGCTCAGCATCCGAGTCCCTTAGCCACTAGACGACCATGGCGGGTAAGTCGGGTTGTCACACGCAATAGCCACGCGAAACAAGGCAGAATGCGCGTCGACTACACTGCGCAGCGTCGTGTTCGCAACTGATAGCCCTCGTACAAGGTCCAGTCGAGAGCTTATATCCTCGTGACGTCACGCGAACTAACTGCTGGCGTCACAAATCGGGCCTCAAACGCGGGAAGCGCCGTGAAAAAATAACGCACGTGTTCTTCGAATTTTCGGAATGTTTCGGGGTGCTTTAAGAGAGTAAGAATAATAAGCAAGCACGTAAAAGTAGCAATAGGAGCTGAAGTGACTTACAAGTGAGGTGAATTAAGTGTTACCTCAGCGTCGATTATGATGTCTAATAAGGCGCTATAATTTATCCGAAACACTGTTTACAATTAACAAGGATAGTTTTAAGCGCACAAACAACCAACGAAGACAAAATTGGTGCTTCTCTTACATCTTTTTTGTGTGCGCACAAAATATGTATAACGAGTTCCCATCGACTCACCCAGTGTTCATCACATTTTCGAGGTTTAGAAGCCGACGAGAGCGTCAAAGCAGTGACATGCGCAACGACGTGGTTCTTAATACATTTGTGACGTAGCCAGAATTTTTTGAGTGGGGGGCTGGAAGGTCCAACCATATTTTACGTATGTTCGTGCATGCGTTTGTATGCGCACATGTAACTTACGCACATGCAAAATTAGTCATGTTGTTACATGACACGCATGTTATGATTATCATGTCATCCGTCTGCGTCACGTAATACCAAATTTGGTAAATGTGAAGATAGCGAAACGGCTGCGAGCACATCATGAGCGCAGCATGTAGTCATGTTGTTACGTGACACGCATCTCATGATTATCATGTTTGCATCAGTCACATACATTTGTCATACATTCACGTCCCGTAATACCAAACTTGGTATACGGGAAGCTAGCGAAACGGCCGCGAGCGTATCATAAGCGTGGAATGTGGTCATGATGTTACATGACAGGGACCTGATAATTATCATGTTTGCACCTGTCCCATACCTTCCTTATCCGTTGGCGTCCCTTAATACCAAATTTGGTATATGTGAAGCTAGCGAAACGGCCGCGAGCGCTTCATGAGCTTGGCCTGTAGCCAGGTCGTTACATGACACACATCTCATGATTATCATGTCTGCACCAGCCACATACCTTCATTATCCATTCATGTCCTGTAATCCCAAATTCGGTATATGTGAAGCTAGCGAAACGGCCGCGAGCGCATCATGAGCGCGGCATGTTGTCATGTCATGTTGTTACGTGACACGCATGTAATGATTTTTATGTTAGAGTCTGTCGCTTGTGTTCTCCATGCAGTCATATGTAATAGGATACCAGTTTTGCAACTTGTCATGTGAACAAAACCAATGCAAGAGCAGCAAGACCATGAAATATAAATCATGATATTCATGACATACATATAATTTTCATGTCATGACCAGTCACTTATGTTCATCATACATTCGCGTTAATGCATACGAAGTTTGGTATCGATACCAATATCGAAACGGCGAGGAAAGCTAAAAGTCGCAAGCGGCTAGATAGATAGATAGACAGATAGATAGATAGATAGATAGATAGATAGATAGATAGATAGATAGATAGATAGATAGATAGATGTGAAGCTAGCGAAACGGCCACGAGCGCATCATGAGCGCGGTATGTTGTCATGTTCTGACATGACACGCATGTCGTGATTTTCATGTTAGAGTCTGTCGCTTGTGTTCTCCATGCTGTCGTGTCATACGATACCAGTTTTTCAACTTGTCATGTGAACAACACCATCGCAAGAGCAGCAAGACCATGAAATGTAAATCATAATATTCATGACGTACATGTCATGATTTCCATGTTATGACCAGTCACTTATGTTCGTCATGCATTCATGTTAACGCATACCAAGTTTGGTATCGATGCCATTATCGAAACGGCCAGGAGAGCTAAAAGTCGTAAGCGGCTAGATAGATAGATACGCTCAAGGTCGCCGAAGTTTGCTATGAAATGCTTCGCATTTAATAATATCGTGGTTCTCGGACGTAAAACATCAAGAATTATTAAATTATTGCATTTTGGCAGGGAGTGTTTGAAACGCCACATGTAAGGTTAAGATAAACTGAAAACTCGACTGGCTGCGCAAGCAAAAAGGAATGAAAAAGGGAGAAAGGAAGAACCTTCCTTCTGCAGGCCAGAGAACTGTCCTGATTGCGCAGAAAGTCGCGTTTCCAGTGGGAACCAGCTAGTGTGCAAAAAAGTATAGTGAAATGACCGTCATTAGAGCTGCACGTAATACAATTCATGAACCTAAATCGATTCATTGTTTCATTTGGCGTCTCTTTCGCATACATGACCGAGCTCTTTTTCTTTTGTTCTTCAACAATGGCGAATACGTACGCACCCGAGCAAGGTCTTGGGGGAGGCCTCCCAGTCGAAGGAGATCTCGCTGTTGTTCAGCGCCACGTGCACCGCAACGACCATGCGCTGGGCGTCGCAGCGCAGCAGCACGGGTTCTCGCAGGTGCGCCGAGGCGGCGCCCCAAAGGCGACCGCGCAAAAGGCGCACGCTCCCGACCCCGCACTCGGGACCGTCGCCCAGCACCAGGGGCTCGGTGGAAGAGAGCGCGGGTCGCAGCTCGTCCATCACGGTGCGCACCACGGCGTTCACGAACTGCTCGTTGCCGCACAGGGCGTCCACGGTCCTGCGCACGCGCCGACCTGCGGGGGGTCAGGCACAGCAAGAGGACAGTTTTCGAAAGAAAGGCGTCATCACGTTGTCACCCTATAGAGTACACGCTTTTCAGCGAATTCTATAGGGTTAGGCGTCAGTGTTTTCCTTGCGCATCAAAACTTGTGCTTTTCGCATACCCAGTGTTGTATAATCATTTTGTAATACTTTGGTAGCCGTTTAACAACGTGTGCATTGTTTCATGATTGACCGTACGCTGTTTTCTTTTGTTATTTGTTGTTTTTCTCTCTTTGTGGTTTGCTTATTTTATGTAAACCTGAAACTGATGTAATTTTGATGCATTTTCTTCTTATTTCTTAATTTCTTGAAGTTTTGAAAGTCGACGTCAAATTGTTTTTTCATGTTTGTACTCTGCGGATTTTTGTAATGCCAAGTGAAAAGGGGTAGGAGCCTCGTGAAGCTGCTAACATAGCAGCTTTTTGCTCTTATCCTTGCGTTTTCTTTTTCGCAACTCTGTGAAGAAAATGCTCAATAAAACTGAAACTGAAACCGAAAAATACACAAGTTGAGGGTCTGTTGATTTATTGATTGATTAATTGATTGATATGTGGGGTTTAACGTCCCAAAACCACCATATGATTATGAGAGACGCCGTAGTGGAGGGCTCCGGAGATTTCGACCACCTGGGGTTCTTTAACGTGCACCCAAATCTGAGCACACGGGCCTACAGCATTTCCGCCTCCATCGGAAATGCAGCCGCCGCAGCCGGGATTCGATCCCGCGACCTGCGGATCAGCAGCCGAGTACCTTAGCCACTAGACCACCGCGGCGGGGCAAGTTGGGGGGTCTAGTTACGCCTATATATATATTCTATGTGTAACAAGCGTTGACAACTGGGCGAGTTGGTTAAGGGTTCATCTTCTAGCAAACTGCGCAGCAGATGCTACACAAACAAGCGTCGATTACATCTTCAATACGCAGTGTCTATTCTCCCGGCAACCGGTATAATCGATCAAAACAATTTCTCCCGGCAGTCGCCTCCCATTGACTCTAATGTCACGTGACTAACTGCCGTGGGGAGAAGAGAAAAAAAAACTGGCTGCTGCGGAACAGACTGGACATACGTAGCCTAGCGTGCGTTAGATTAGGTTAAGTTAGGCTGCGAGACAGACTGGACAGACGTGGCCCAGCGTGCGTTGGGTTAGGTTAGGTTAGGTTACGTTAGGTTATGTTGAATGGGTTAGGTTAAGTTCTACCGGTTGCAGAAAGAATCGTACAAAAATTTATCCCGGCAGTTAGTCACGTGACTTATGAGAACTTATGGGAGGCGACTGCCGGGATAATTTGTTTTGGTCAATTATCCCGGTTGCCGGGAGAATATACACACCCTCTTCAATAAGTTAGTTGTGAGTCTGCGCTCGTCTGTCGAGTTTAGTCGACATACTGAGAGGCTTGTAGCGATGTCGGTTTTTTTTTTTTTACTAGCAGGTGCTGCCTGCGTCGGCCTTGCGAGGCGAGAGAGGGGGAGGGGAGCGTCAGTCTTGCGGGCACCTTCCCGCGCCGGCACCAGACGCGAGCATGCGCAGTGGAGGTGTACGGAGGGACAGCATTACACAGGCTAGTCAAAGATCCGATTCGCATCTAAAAAACGGCCGCGTGATTACCAAGGAGTAAAATTCCAATTCACCCCTTTACATCGAGTCCTTCGTAATCAAAATCCTCACCGCACACTCATCTCCGGTGTACGCCAAATTTCATTACGTCACGCACATAAAAAGGGCGAACAGCTGCACCAATGTTTTTTTTTTTTTTACATTGTGAATATGGTTTCCGTGGGAGAGCTTCCGTGGTTTCCGTGGATTCGTTTTTAATAGAATTTCGGTCGGTACGTTCTTTTCAAAGCAAGAAAAAAGTTTAGTCCAATATAAGCCCTAGAAGTCGCCGGCTGTGTAACTGCGATTACTGAGCAAATGAGATTTCTGGCCCGGTAATGCACGTCTTGATCATCTTCTTAAATAGGTGGCAGCGAAGATCGCCGTTAATTAGGGACTATGTTCTCAGTCAACGTGAAGATTCAGTGCTATTTTTTTCCTATATGTCTATGTCTTCTCGAAACCTTGCTAACTAACGGTTATGCAGTAATACCTGGGTTTTAACGTCCCGAAACCACAATGATTATGACAGACGCCGTAGTGGAAGGCTCCGGACATGTCGAGCAACTTGATTCTTTAACGGGCACTGACTTCACTTATAGGCCGACCTAAACTGACCGACTTATAAAAAAAGCAACTTGCTTTCTAACTTTATTCAACTCTCGGCCAACGCCCATCAGTGACTATGCAATGCCGTGGGGAGAAACCATGCAAATGCGAGCACGAGTATTCACTCACCTTTCATTTTCACATTAGAGTGATAACTTAGGTTCCACTATTATTACCCAAAATATACGCTGTACTCTCGAAAGGACTGCGAGAATTCATCGAATTCCACCGACAAACCAATGGGCCACGATTCCGAGAAGTTTGCAGGCACAAAATGCAACCAACTCACGCAAGATTTTTCGTAAGTCGAGAACATAGATGGTTGTTTTACCCCCGTATTCACAAACGCTCCTCGACTCGACTTTTACCTTCCACTTGACATAGTTGAGCACTGCGCCGCTGCTCGGTTGAAAATGACGCTGCGTTACTCGAGAATAGCAGCAAATTATCGCTGATATGCAGTGACTTTCCCTGCCTAAAGATGGCGCTTCCATCGGATTTCTCAAGCAAAGGTGGAGCGTTGAGTGAAGGGGCGTCCTAGAATATGGGGGTTAGTGCTACAGGCTAACTTGTACCCATCAAAAGAAGCGAGAGTTGCAAGCAACAGATGCTACATACACCTGTAGCGGCAGGCACAGCCGTCGGTCTGCTCGCCTGTGTCAAGTGCTGCAGACGGGACAAGTTGGTGCACCCGGAATCGCTTGAAACGAAAAATTAGCGAAGCGAATGCTTCTGCGAAATCTGTCAAGTTGTGTGCGACCCGTCGCGGTGGGGGTCTATCTAGTCTGCTGATCAGCAGGTCGCAGGGTCGAACTCGGGCCGCGGCAGCGGCACGATCGAAAGAGGCAAAAATTCTCGAGGACAGTGTTCCTAGATTCGGGTAGAAACCCCTGGTAGTCGAAATTTAAGAAGCCCTCCGTGACCGGTTTCAAGAATAGCTCGGTTATAACAATGAGAAGCAGCTGCACCGTCAACTTTTGTACGTTTTCTACGGAGATATAATCGGCTTACAGCATTGCCCGTGTGTGCCGCTGTCGTTTATAAGAATGAGTTCTGGCTTTTAGGTGGCTGTGCCGAAAGGCAATGGAGAACGAAATCCTTGAAAAGAGAAGAAAACGAGCAAATCAATGTACTAAATTAAACCTGCGCCCACAACCCCACTGTCCCGCAGTGCCCCTTCAAATTTGCGAAATGCTTCGCTAAATAGCGTTGTAGTATTGCGGCAAAGCAAACTTTCAAAATCACCAATGGCGCGGGAGCGGCAATGACTTCTGTCAATACAGTTTCCGACGTGCAATTTAGGTAAAAAGAAGAAGCTTGGAAGGGCTTCGGTGTCCGAGACTTCATTGGGAAATAGTGGCTCTGTGGAGCTTCTGGAGGAAAAAAAAATGGCAGCTTTGACATTCTTATCACTGATGTCTTTTGGCATATATCATCGGTTTTCTCACAACAGCCTGCTAATCTAATATTTTGCTTTTTCACACAATTCGTTCACATCCATTCTTGGTGACAACAATAAAACTTTCGTGGCATTTCAGTATTGTTATAAGTGGCTTCGACTGTAGTGTGGTTTTGGAACGTTAAACTCCGACAGTTAAATCCTGATTATGATGATGATGATGATGATGATGCCGTTCCTTTTATAACGGGTCGCCGTGTGTAGGGCGTCTTGGCAATAAGGAGTATAAAAACCCCAGCTAAGGGTAAAAGACAAGAAAGAAGAAAGAAAGATTAAGGAGGATGTGAGGGACTACCTACTCTGAAAAAAAAGAGGGTCAAGTTGCGTGTGAGTACGCCATTTGAACTTGATTCTGGTGAGCCATCAACATGTGTTCAGTGAAGTGATCGCTTAAACCGAGTTTTTTCGCCACGTGTCCAGCATCACATGTGCGAGCTACATAATGCACTGCAGGGTTATGGTATAAAGTTCGAATTTTAGCGTGCATCTTTTTGCCTGCCATTTCTTCCTTTTCTATCGTTTCTTTCCTTCATGCTTGAACCAAGCTACGACTCTGCTGGTCTGCGAAATTCATCAGCTTTTTCATAGATGTCTTTGGTTTATGGAATTAGGATTATGAACGGTGCTTGCGTAGGCTCTAAAATAAATCGCAACTTCAACAGCGCAGTATTTGCACGTAATATTAACAGGAAAGTCAAACACACGCCAATTTTTCTTACATTGCGGCACGGTCTACGAAGAGTGAAGGTACAGCTTGTTTTTCTGCGCGAAGGCCGTTCAGATAATGCAATTTATAATAAAAAACGAGTAGCATAAGTGCGCGTGGCATTCAGCTCGGAAACGGTCATTACAAGACGACGATGTTGACGATGACGGCGGATGAAAGCGTATGACCCACCTGCCATCCTGCGTTGTGGTCCGTAGCTCCCGGTGGTCGTAGCAACGGCTGCCAGGAATGCGGTCACGGTCACCAGAAGCATCATTGCGGCTGTCAATGCGAGCGTGTCGATCAATGACAAGATTCGTTTCTGAAAAGAAAGCAGTGCCGACGCTCCGTGCTATCACGTTGCCGGTCTGATGCTTTCGGTGGCGCGCCTTCGGCAGACGCTCTGCGCACCCCCCAGTGCCGTTGTCAGAGTACACAAGAATCCGCTCTCGCAGAAAAAAAAAAAAAAGTCATGTGAGGAGGGTGACGACGACGGGGCAACTTCCAACGTGGGTTCCCCGACGGCGGCTCGTGAAAAAGTTGTGAAACACAAATTTTGCAAGGCATGCCGAGGCATGTTGCAGTGGAGGAATCGGCCGAGAAAACCACGCCAAACGCGAACTCAAGCTGAGTGCGGTACCGCAGAAGCATGCCTCGATATAACCAAGCGCGTTTTGATGAAGACCAGTAAAAAAAAAAAGAAACTCTGGCGTTACGTGCCTTCTGTGGGTCCATGGATAACAATACAGTCATAATGGGCATGTGGTTATTTATTTTTTGTACAAGCATGCCCGAAATCACGTGACTACTCCGAATACAACGTCGAGCTTTCACCATCTTTCACTCGGTAGCCGCAGCTCTTTGCAGCCTCCGCTACTTTCAAACTTTTTTTTTTTCTTGGACACGGATCGGCGTTTGTAGGGGGAAGGGGTCGGAAAAGATGAGAAGTGGGGAGACGGGAATAGGCATGGATGTGTGACGTCCATGCCTCAGGACCAGGCAAGAGACCTCTGCTACCGCCTGCATACGGGACAACAACAAAGGCGGGCTTCGTTGAAGGGATTGTTGTTGTTAGTGGTTCATGAGGAAAAGGAAGAATGCACCTAATTTCTGTCTGCCTACAGGCGACACGGCGCAGTGAAGGGATTTGCGTGCAGACTGTGGTAAACTTCGCTACAGGTCTCTCTCTCTCTCTCTCTCTCTTAACAACGGTGATTACTTCCAGCCATTCTGTTCAATAACATGGCAGTCGTGCGGCACATGCATTCGAAAAATAAAGAAAAAAAAAGAAACACAAAAGAGACGTCCGCAGGGAAGGAAAAGACTGCGTAGGCGATGGAAAACGCTCGAATACCTGAGAACACAAAAACCCGTTCGCTCAGCTTAGTGGCTGCTGTCTGGCCACGGAAATTTCCTGAAAAATGGCGCAGTTTTTTCCTTCCTTGGGTTCTCCCTCTCTTTTTCTCTCTCCGGGGCTTGCCTCGTAGATAAATAAATGCCAGAATCAACCATGGTGACAGTTGACTAAAATACGCATGACGTGTGAATGAGCTCGTAAGTACGAACGGGTAACCATTGTAAATGGGTTCCTCCAGAATCTGTTTTTAATAAAGCTTTATTGCCGATATTGTTTACAGCAGGAATGCGTTAAACACTTATGTCCTGCTGACAGAAAAGTGCATACGAAAAATGACAATTTCGCCGCATACTGAAATGAGATGTGCGCATCGAAAGTAGCAGACGTGAATGTCCGAAACCAATTGAATGGTACTACGCTGAGGCGGAGTTTATGACCACTGCACTTGGTGAAGTTGTGACCAGCTACCTTTAAGAGCCAATCAAGTGGATACCTCCCTGCACTCCGATTTCTGTCCTCACGTTGGAACACGTTCTTCGCAGGTGGCTCAGGTTTCACTGGGTTGAAGCGTCACGCTGCTTCCGTGCATCACCCGACGGATATGACGTCTTCTCCTTCGGTGACTGAGGGCAGCCGGCGGATGACGTCCCGAACATTGACGTGTGCCACGTAGATGTCATCCCCGATGGGCATGCCGCCGCGGCGTCTTCCCGCCGCCACGTTCACGGGGTCGTAGGGCTCCTCACCCAGCTTGGGACCCGAGTAGCCAGAGTCCTGGTCCACCTGCGTCGTGACTCCTCGTCATGAACGACCAGGTTTCGCTCGACAGCTGTCGTCATGAATGGTCATTACTGCCACGTCAATTGTTCTTTTACGCGCCAAAACTATGGCATTACTGTGAGGCACGCTGTGGTGGTAGTCCCCGGGTTAACTTCGACAACCAGGGGCTCACAGCACACCGATTTGTGCTGAGCCCTTGGTAGCCTCATGTGTGCACACGGACGTTTATGCATTTTGTCCTCATCTCTTACCCGCCATGGAGGTCCAGGAGGCCCATGCACTTAGATTTGCGTTAAAGAACCCTAGGTGGTTGAAAATTTCGCAACTCTACACTACGGCCTCTCCCATAGCTATATGGTGGTTTTAGGATGTTGAACCCTAGCAGTTATTTCATCCCCAACCGGACGGGGCCGCCGTGGCCGGGATTCGAACGAGCGCCCTCGAACTTCGCAGCACAGCATCTTTGCGGCTACGGCGCGCACCGCAGCTTCCTTTAAGGCGAACACATTGTCAACCGTGCGAGCTCTTGTTATCAGAGTGGGAGGGGAATGATAAAAGCGATTCTGAAGGCAGTAGCGACCGATCGCGCGCTCACCAGCTTTCCCAGGGCGTAGATGCACCTGGTGACTCGGGGTACGTGTCGCAGGAAGAGCAGGTCCTCGGGTTGGAAGAGCAGGCGTTCCTCGACTCCGTACGCCTTGGCGGCTCGAAGGAAGAGCTCGATGTTCCGCCGCTTCTGGCGGAAGTCGTTTCCGCTGCTCACTTCCTCCATGTTCACCGAGCCCGGTCGCACGTGGTTCATCAACCTGCGGCACGAAGGCAAAGATGAACTCGAAAGGACAAGAGCGATTTTTCGATGCTGCTGATCGCCATGAGGAAAGAAGGTCATGCACAGAACCACGTGCAGTGTGTCTACATTACGGTGGGGTGGTACGTCATCGCAGGAAACACGTCATTGTAAACACTCGGGACGTGTGTTCCTTCTACTTAGTCCTGTTCCTGCGCTGTTTACACGCAGCATCAGCTACCAAGCAACTGGGCCTTCAACACACCATTTTGTCATCGCAGACTCCAACTATAGCAGTGATCCGTTTAGGTTTCAACACATTATTTCCTTCTGTAAAATTTGTAGGGTAAGACGGGGCAAAATGGGACGTGCGGCAAAACGCGACATTTGGATTTTGCCCACCTCTGCAGCTAACACAAAAAGCGACTTGTTCCTCCATTCCAGTGATAAATGTTGGTATAGTTGTCCACGTGTTTATGCGTAAAGGGTGATAATTGGTCACAGCGTTCGCGCGGGAAAAATTACTAGTCTGGTGTCACTGTGTTCGTGACCCGTCAAAAAGGAGTGAAATTCTGCTCGGCCAAATTTTTTAGCATCCGTACATGACGCTACTCCGGCATTAGTACAACAACATAACTACATGCCACCAAAAGTCTACCTCATTGGGTGTCCGTTGACAAAGCGGATTTTTTTTTAATTCGGACATTTGGGAGGGGCGAAACGAGACAAAAAGGCATGTAATTACTTTGCAGTGTTCAATCAATCAATCAATCAATCAATCAATCAATCAATCAATCAATCAATCAATCAATCAATCAATCAATCAATCAATCAATCAATCAGTTTATTCCAGTTTTTTTACAGGCAAAAAAAAACAGGATGGCAAGAAAAAAGCAGTAATTAACGACTGCTTGACGAGCCTCGCCACCCCTACATGTCAGCATACACAACAACACTGTGAAATTTTAAGAAAAACAATTATCACTATTTAGAGGAAACAAAAACAGCACGAGCAATTGCAGGCATTCGAAACATTTGTTCACAACCAATATGTACACATCAGAAACAGTTGTTCCTACAAGCATATCACGAAATACAAGGCGAAGTAAAAACGGATACACTGGCTAAAGTCGCAGTTGAATAGTTTAAAATCATTAAAAGCAAGAAACAAGACGCTTAGGCTTGTTTCTTGTTAATGAGTCCAGGGAACAATTTTCCTGGACTCATTATATATTACATTTATTTGTTTCGGAGGTTTTGAACTTACAAGAGAATATTATACGAAGCTTCCTGTAAGGAAAAAGGCATAAAAAAGCACTGTCTGCTGCTCAGGACAGGGCTCACTCCATTCGCGCTCCATCGAAGTTGTTCCGCGTTCCCAAGGATGCTCTCCGGAGGCACATAGAACTATGAGAAGAATCTCCAAAGTCGTCCAGAAACGCGTCTTGGAATCGAGTTTTAATAACACTTCACCAGTACCACAAATTAAAAAAAAGCGCTAGAAAATCTATATGTCGTACAGCTTTAAAGCCCAGCTGAAGAAGTTGAAAACTGCAAAGCATCCGCGAAGTTCTACTTATAAGCAGCAAAAAAGGAAAAAAAAATAGGTGTCAGAGCGTATCCAGCCTCCAATTAATGAATAAGCAAATGAATTGCAAATATTCAAAAAATATAACATTAGCACAAAAAAGACTGGCGTTGTTTGATATGCAGGGAGTTTGAAGCATCAGAGCGCCAAGTTCAGTCTAGGTTCAGGGCATGGAGTGCAAAGACTGGACCCATGAAGACTGCTCATGGGGGCTCACATAGTAAATTTAAAGTGTTTATGTTGCAAAAAACGGAAAAGCCCCGCAGGTTGGGGTAAAATGAGACAGATGGTGCACTTTTTTTTATTTCTCTTTAAAATAAACTTTTAAAACACGGCAAGATGGCCGTAAGTTTCTGCATTTATTTTTTTATGGCAATGAGTGAAATAGAAAAAAATGCACACTGTCAAATTCTTGCCGCATTTGCCCCACCGTAACCTTACGAGTTTTTATGCAAACTTAACTAACCCACCAGTTACACGACCACCAACACGTTCTGAAAAGGGTGATTTCATAGAGTTAAAAAGAAGCCGTGGTTCCGCTTAGAGATGCATTAAATAAAGCAATAAATCAATTTAGACTAAAATTGTTATTTGAATATTCCTTCGTTGTTCATTACATCATCTTACTCTTAACAGTAGAAGAGAAAATAAAGATCCGAGCTTCCTTTTAAATTTCCCGCCGAAGTCTTTGCACGCGAACATCAATGTGACGTAGCGTATATGACAGCGTTCTTTAGTGATTTCACCTCTTTGGTTACACAGTAGTCGCTGAAACTTGACAACTGGCCAGATCGTGTGATTAGATCCTGGTGGAAAAGAAAACATTGTGAAATAATATGTTGACATATTGCAGCATCATTTTCCCGTTGTGAGTAGGATTATATTTCTAAATTTGGTTCAAAAGTAATGCAAAACCGGTATGTCACACAGCTACCAGAAGAGCGTTGAAGCGGGACGATGAAGTCGATCACTTTGCCTTGCGCAGTCACGTAGTCTGTCATGCTTGCCATAATTAATCCTCAAAGTTGGAGAAAATATCTCGTCCCGCTCTAGTTTGTGCTGCTTGCGAGGTTCAGAGTAGCACGGTGAGGAGCTGCGCTGCCTTGACAGCGGCCAGCCGGTGCACCATGTCGATCGAGCCACGGCGCATGCGCCAAAGTGCGCGCATGCGCACTAAACCTCCGCGCTCGAACTCGAACCGCTCTTGCACGCACTGTTCGCAGCATGTGTTGTCACGTGCCTATACCATCTATTATTCGCCGCAAATAAGAAAATTTTGATGACAAATGTTCAATAGAATTTTACACTTCATCATTCCGTGATTAGACAGACTGACCCGTAAGCTTTCAGCAGCTCTAAAGAAAATAGGTACCGTAAAAGTTTGTTGTCGGTCATGTCTCTTGACATTTAAGGGGATAACGTCCTTCATTCTTATAGATGAGGCATACGCTCACCTCTCTAGACTATACCAAATCTATGACGTCACAGTGAGTTGTTGAGGGAACATCAAGTAGGTGGCGACACTTGCATGCTCTTTATGCGCGTTCGCTGCCTTACCAAGTGACTCTAAGCGAAACAAGCGGTATTTTAAATTTTTTTTGTATTGTGTCAAACTGCGAGGTTTTCTTCCCCTATGGAATTGATTTTTGAAACTGCTGTGTTGTGCTCAGTTGAACAACACCTGTTTCGGCATGTATGCTAACAGTATGAATAAATAAATAAATAAATAAATAAATAAATAAATAAATAAATAAATAAATAAATAAATAAATAAATAAATATTGTATGGCGAAAGTATAAGTTACTTACGCGAAAAAAATATAATTTTCCCTTTAGTGTTTCTTTGAGAAGCTCGAAAACAGCATCGATGGTCTTACAACATTACGCATATATTTCGCCCGAAAATATAACCTATATTTACATAATTTTTTCTCGTCCATGCCACTCACTTGCAGAGAGCGACGCCGTCTTTGAGAAACTGTTCGTAGTCGAGGCAGCTGACCATCTCGAGGCAATTCCATATCCACATCAGAATCTGGCTTTCCTTGGTGTTGTCGCGCTGCGATAAAAAAAAAAAATCGATCCTAGTCAAGAACACGTGTACTGGCTGCGATGCTATTTTTGTCAGCACATAACGAGAAGGGAAGTCGGGCAACACGAAAGAAACACCGAGCTCGTGCCAATACACACTCCCAGGGTTTCTCAGTGGCATTTGCCGAAGACGACTTGAACGAGACCCACGTTTTCCCTCTCAATCGATGTATTGATCCTCGACCGCCTTCTTCACGAAAGCGTTCTCCATCTAACGTGGACTTTCACGTGCCTCGTCCACCTCGGTGGAGCTACGGTGCTCGGCAGCTGAACCAAAGGTGTTGGGTTCGATCCCGGCTGAAGTGGTCGCATTTACATGGAGGCGCAACGGTACAGGCTCTTGTACTGTGCGATGGAAGTGCACGTTAAACAATACCAGACGGTCAAAAGTACCAGAGCGACGTCTCTCACAATCATATGGCGGTTTTGGGACGTATTTTTATTAATTTGCACTGCACGCCTCCTAGATCAGGTGCACTGTAGGCTTTATGCACCACCAGGTCGTTGTTGTTGCTCGGCCTATTGGGGATCGGCACACGTCAGTGACTAAGCGACGCTGCCACGCGATGACGTCGACGTCATGCGACGGTACGCAATGTGGAGTGATGGTGACGTCACAAACACTGGCTATCTTTGACATCACGACGGCGTCACATGTCCCCATATTGCGTCATCACGTGAGGACTTTTTTGCACCGCTCGAGCTTGCCACGACGACACGGGACGCGTCGACGGTTAGTTATTCGCGTTAAACGAGCAATCTAATGGCTTTCGCCTTAAAGCGCTGAATGATTGATATGTGGGGTTTAAAGTCCCAAAGCCACCATATGATTATGAGAGACGCCGTAGTGGAGGGCTCCGGGAATCTCGACCACCTGGGGTTCTTTGGCGTGCACCCAAATCTGAGCACACGGGCCTGCAACATTTCCGATGCAGCCACCGCAGCCGGGATTCGAGCCTGCGACCTGCGGGTCAGCAGCCGAGTACCTTAGCCACTAGACCACCGCGGTGGGGCAAAGTACTGAATATGTATTGTGTTAACGTCAGACACGTGCACGTAAAAATTTATCATTGTAAGAAATGTATTCTAAGAATCTTTTCAAGGGATACCAAACTGAAATAGTGAACTGGTTGAGACTGGTAAATCTTACTCACCGAACTCTAACGTCGTTATTTCATCCTCATAGCTTTATCAGCAAAAGAAAAAAAAACTAAGTTTAAAGATTGATTTTAAGTTTAGCACCGGTATCGCCGAATAAGACGTCACAGATCACGCTGGTCACGCATGAACGCCCCTCTTAGAAACATTTTCTCGCTACGCCACTGGTACATAGTGTCGGAGAGAAACATTCCCAGAAGCTGAAATAAAAAGAGAAAAAAAAAATCCGACTAAGAGTTTCCGAGCTCTGTCAATTCAAACCGACAACTTTTACGCGCCACTTGCCTGGGTTGGGCTGATGCAGTCACATTTCCCAATGGCAGGGCCGAGTCGGCTCGCATGCCATCGGACCGACTCCAACAGCATTGACGCTCCGTCTGCCCGACCCGTCAGCATTTACACAAATTCGACGAATAAATTTTAGTGCGACAAGCCAAGCAAGGCCACTGCTGTCGCGTCGACATCAATGCCCCGTATAAATGAATAAATATATGTGTGCTTAACACAACACGTCCGGGCGCTACTGGTTAATACATTCCTACCTGAAAATCTCTACATTTGAGGAGGACAAGGAGAGAAGTGCATGACATGACGGGTGTTGTCGTGTCATACGGTTGTCTTGCATTCAAATGGAGCGCTACAATTTTCAAGTAAGAATACATGTCTTGTAATATGTGGGGTTTCACTCGCCGGAACAGCGATATGTTTATCAGGCACGCTGTAGCGGAGGGCTCGGGAAATTTTGATTATCGCACAGTACACATACCTCCAGCACGTCGCCTCCATCGAAGCATCACCGCCGCGACCCAGATCGAAACTGCGACCTTCGGATCAGTAGCCGAACACTGCAGCTACGCCACCGCGACCGACTATAAATGTATACTCTGTCGCAAGATCCATAATACTGCATGGGATGGTGTCTTAGACACGGCCAGTGCAACGGTAATGGGGAAAGTGGATGAGCCAGGTGCCGGATGACCAGTGCCTCGTTTTTTGATCGTGCGCTTATCAACCTTTTCAATATTAATTAATTATATTTGGGGGGGGGGGGGTAGGTGTCAGAAAACGTCTCTGTCTTTATCAGTGCGCATTACTGATTGTTTGCTTATGAAATTTACCGTCCCAAACTGGCCCATACTACTAGAGGCACTGTTGTAAGGGGCTCCACATAATTGCGAACAGCTGGAGTTCTTCAACGCGTACAAAGATCGCACAGTGCGCGGGCTTCTACACCATTTCGCCTCCATTGAAAAAAAAAAAGTGACAGAAGTGGTCATGTTCGAACTCGCGTCTTTCGGACCAGCAGCCGAGCACTGTAAACAAGGGCTCCACTGTGGTTTCGCTCTGTATTACCGTTCCCGTTACCCTGTAATTGATTGATATGTGGGGTTTAACGTCCTCCGAGTACCTTAGCCACTAGACCACCGCGGTGGGGCAAAGTACTGAATATGTATTGTGTTAACGTCAGACACGTGCACGTAAAAATTTATCATTGTAAGAAATGTATTCTAAGAATCTTTTCAAGGGATACCAAACTGAAATAGTGAACTGGTTGAGACTGGTAAATCTTACTCACCGAACTCTAACGTCGTTATTTCATCCTCATAGCTTTATCAGCAAAAGAAAAAAAAACTAAGTTTAAAGATTGATTTTAAGTTTAGGCACCGGTATCGCCGATAAGACGTCACAGATCACGCTGGTCACGCATGAACGCCCCTCTTAGAAACATTTTTCTCGCTACGCCACTGGTACATAGTGTCGGAGAGAAACATTCCCAGAAGCTGAAATAAAAAGAGAAAAAAAATCCGACTAAGAGTTTCCGAGCTCTGTCAATTCTAACCGTCAGCTTTCACGCGCCACTTGCCTGGGTTGGGCTGATGCAGTCACATTTCCCAATGGCAGGGCCGAGTCGGCTCGCATGCCATCGGACCGACTCCAACAGCATTGACGCTCCGTCTGCCCGACCCGTCAGCATTTACACAAATTCGACGAATAAATTTTAGTGCGACAAGCCAAGCAAGGCCACTGCTGTCGCGTCGACATCAATGCCCCGTATAAATGAATAAATATATGTGTGCTTAACACAACACGTCCGGGCGCTACTGGTTAATACATTCCTACCTGAAAATCTCTACATTTGAGGAGGACAAGGAGAGAAGTGCATGACATGACGGGTGTTGTCGTGTCATACGGTTGTCTTGCATTCAAATGGAGCGCTACAATTTTCAAGTAAGAATACATGTCTTGTAATATGTGGGGTTTCACTCGCCGGAACAGCGATATGTTTATCAGGCACGCTGTAGCGGAGGGCTCGGGAAATTTTGATTATCGCACAGTACACATACCTCCAGCACGTCGCCTCCATCGAAGCATCACCGCCGCGACCGAGATCGAAACTGCGACCTTCGGATCAGTAGCCGAACACTGCAGCTACGCCACCGCGACCGACTATAAATGTATACTCTGTCGCAAGATCCATAAATACTGCATGGGATGGTGTCTTAGACACGGCCAGTGCAACGGTAATGGGGAAAGTGGATGAGCCAGGTGCCGGATGACCAGTGCCTCGTTTTTTGATCGTGCGCTTATCAACCTTTTCAATATTAATTAATTATATTTGGGGGGGGGGGGGTAGGTGTCAGAAAACGTCTCTGTCTTTATCAGTGCGCATTACTGATTGTTTGCTTATGAAATTTACCGTCCCAAACTGGCCCATACTACGAGAGGCACTGTTGTAAGGGGCTCCACATAATTGCGAACAGCTGGAGTTCTTCAACGTGTACAAAGATCGCACAGTGCGCGGGCTTCTACACCATTTCACCTCTATTGAAAAAAAAAGTGACAGAAGGGGTCATGTTCGAACTAGCGTCTTTTGGACCAGCAGCCGAGCACTGTAACAAGGGCTCCACTGTGGTTTCGCTCTGTATTACCGTTCCCGTTACCCTGTAATTGATTGATATGTGGGGTTTAACGTCCTACAACATTTCCGCCTCCATCGGAAATGCCGCCGCCGTAGCCGGGATTCGATCCCGCAACCTGCGGGTGAGCAGCCGAGTACCTTAGCCACTAGACCAGCGCGGCGGGGCCCCGTTACCCTGTATTACGGTTGCATGTATTACCATAATTACCGTGTATCATCACCCTTACGCTGAATGCCTCATCAACTATAGCCAGACGATGGAATGCCAAGTTGGGCTAGTCGAAATCAGCGAGGACGCGTTGCCGGTCTGGTTATTTGGAAATTATCACACGGTGCAGGTACCCAGAAAGAAGACACGAACACAACGTTGAAATATTTGCGGGGTCGACGCTACTCCAAAAAAGCGAAAGACGCAATTTTCTGTTTTGCGCGTGTCTTTTGTGATCGGTTCTGCTTCTCTCTCTCTCTCTCTCTCTCTCTCTATGTGGACTTGTGTGTGCTTAGAAATAAATCTTTCAGTTGTGAAAGAGCGCACGTCACGTGTTCTGTGGTTAGGTCGTCTTTCAGCCCTCCACGCGTAGTCGTGCTCGCAGGAGTTCGCCCCCTTTCCCCTCCCTTCAATTACATTTGGGGGAGTGACGCAAAGATAGCCCCGCACATTGCACGTCATTGTTTAGGTAGGGGAAATATGGCCATGCATTTTTTTGACGATATGGTGGCTGGAGGGCCCTGATGTTTCATTCCTAGAACTGTCTATCTCCCTTATATGCTCCCGGAGACTTGGGTACCAAAGGCCGGCCCTTAAGGAATCGCAGCATCGCCACATTTTAATGCTGAGCATGTCTTTTTGACCCGACAGACGGGAAGACGGGGGGTGGCTGCGATGAGACTTTGCCACCCCTTTCTCCCCCCACCCCAAGTTTCTTCTTTCTGACATATTTACAATTTCTTCCAAGTGCATGTGCTGAACCCACTAACCTTCTGAAGGTTAGTGGGTTCAGGGTGCCGGGAGTATAAATTTGCGAGCGAATGGTGTTGGATGATGGTACAGGGTGTGAAAAAAAGTTAATCTTGACAATTGCCTTCCAAATACCAGATTTTCTGTCACTTTTACACTTTTTTTATATGTTTCACGCTGTACTTTGCAATTGTGTACTTTTGCTGCCTTTATGATATTCTAATGTCACTTTTGTTGTGTCGATTCTTTCTTTTTACAATATTGTATGTTGTGTCGGCTTTCAACCCATTCCCCCCCTATGTAATGCCCATTTGGGCCCTTAGGGTACCTAAATAAATGAATAAATAAATAAAATGACCACTTCCTAATGAGTAAACCCAGCGCGTGTAAATGGCTGCACGAACCATGCGAATAGCCCGAGCAACCACTTCGTTCAGTTGCACAGGTCGACCATGCGGTGAAAGGCGTGTCTCGAATTCGGCATACGATACACCGTCGCGTCTATTCGGGTAAAGCGCTCACCTGGTGCGGTTGCAGGTCGTCATCCCACTCCTTCTGTTGCACGTCGGCCTTCTTGAGCTGTCGCATCCCTCCTTCCGGCGTTCTAAGCCTAACCTGGTCCGCAGGCGCCGCTTGCCACTTCTGCGACGCTGCCTCGCGAGCACTTTCCGCGGGAGGAGGCGCTGGGCGATTTGGCCCGGCCCGAAATAGAGCTTAGCGCGCGCCCCCGAGTGAGGAACAAATAGAAACAATAAAGGCTACGGGTAGCAGCAAGAAAATGAAGCCAGGGTGCTGGGCTCGGTTTAAAAGCAAAGCGACAACTGGCGGGAAATCTCGCGGGGCGAACCACGCAAATAGCGCATCACCGTTGCGCACGCATGCATCGTTGTGTTGTTTCGCGAGGGCATTCGGTGCATTCTTTCAGGTGCCAATCACGTCGGGGGCTCCGCTTGTTATGTCGTCACGGTGTGTCGTGTAATCACTGTCCATCGTAAAAGTGGGTGTGCGCCATTTAAATAGGGTAAATCCCTCTATACCGGTCTACTAATAACGAAGTAGGCAACAGACGACGACGTTTGTGGAGCAAAAACACCCTTCCGTATACATGCTGTGCCCCTACCCACTGTTTTTCCCACGCATTGACAGGTTTCTTACCTTCGATGAAGTGCGTATTCGTTACTCATGGATTAAAACGAGACAATTTAGGAACGCACATGCTTTCGTTTGCTCTGTCTTCAGCTCGCGTCGTATCAGCTTAATTTTCCCTCGAAGACGTACCTAAAAAACAGCCTTACCTTTATAGGCCAGATTCGTCACGATATGACGCACTTATCTAGAGTGACAGCTCATACTAACCGCTATATATAAACACACACACACACGCACACACACACGCACACACACACGCACACACACGCACACACACACGCACACACACACACACACACACACACACACACACACACACACACACACACACACACACACACACACACACACACACACACACACACACACACACACACACACACACACACAAAACAATGTCGCGTTTTAATCTTTCAGTGCTCTACATTGCAACAGCCTGTAGCTGCTTAAGTAAATACATTTTCAACTAAACCTTGTGTAATAAAACATTAAACTTTGCATCATTATTTCACGATCAGTTACTCTTCGTTCGGGAAGACAGTCTTCCGTTGAATTTATGTTGTTATTTCTGCTTGCAATATGCTGTCGATTCATGTCTATAATTTTTTCGCTCTTGTTTGTTATATGCATGCCATGGTTTTTTTTCGCACGTTTCCTTTTGTATTAATTGTATGTTTACTCCTCCCTGCGAGCCGAATATCAGATTGATGGTACGAAATTAATCAAGTAATGACTCGTAACGACGCATTGAGGAGATGAGTTGTGAAGCACGTGAAATGAACTTCTTTTGTTCTCCTATTCATTGTGGCGCATACTCACTGTGTGGAATTGGTCAAGAATTTAGTGGTATTATAAAATAATGTGAAGTTTCGGAATAATGTAGGGCATATCATAGAAATATTACATATTACCTATAGGAAAGTATGGTGCATGATGTATATATCTATTATAGAAAAAATACCTTTTCTTAATTAAGAGCTAATAAAATAAAGAAACACACTTATTTTTTATGCGTCTGCAATGTTGTAAGCACGTTAGAATGATAACACTGATTATTTGTCAACCTTGAGCAACTTTTTTTTTGAGAGCTTGTCTTACCAAATATACCCCCACGCACCCGCTTCTGTTGTTTTATTACCGTGCACTCGAATCCATGGTGTAAGGTCTTCACAATCTCCCAGTCTAGAAATGAAGCCACAACGAAAAAGCGGCAGCTTCGTCCTACATAGTGGTGCCACGCCTGAAGGAACCGCGGAGCTGGGCGGCCTCGTTGTTTTTGTCCTCCGGACGCGGCTCATATCCAATGGAGGGGATTGACCGAGTAGAAAGGGAACTTCCCCAATACTTTCTGCACGGTGTCATTCCTATAGGTGCGCTGAATAATAAATCATCAATAATTTTTTTCTTTCAGCTGTCATTCTCTTTCTTCCTCTCTGTCTCTCTTCTATTTTCCAGCTTTCCTGCGCTCATTTTCTGAAAATTTTTATTTATTTGTTTTTCTTTCCATCTGTCGTTTCTTCCCGTTTTTGCATATCTTGCTCCCTTCCTCTTTTACAAGATTCATGCGTGGTTTCGCCTGCGTTACGCCCCTGGACGACAGCATATGTCTGCCCGAATATCTAAAGTGCTCCGTACTTAAAAAAAATGTTACAGTGACATTTCTGGAGCAGAGCGTGTTCGTACGTACAATAAACGATGAATTTGTGAAGAACTATATTTACAGTATGTACAGCTCCATGACAAAAATAAAATTGCATTACGGATTTTTTTGAGTGCGGAAATTTCTGGCGTGTCACGTGGGCGCGGCCTGGCCACTAAAAAATACGACTCCTTCGCCTCTTTTTTTTCTTCTTTTTTTGCTACTTCTGTGATCCAAACATGTACAACTGCTTTTAAAGAAACAAGTTCACTTTCTTGTGAAGATTCGTGCGTCTCCCAACTTTTCTAAAGAGAATCAGGGTGACTATCAAAATAGAGTTATACTTGTGAGAGCCGCATACGCAGCAATGAAGGTCAAATGAACTTCTTCATCTTAGAGTGGATCATGCTCGAAATCTAGTGACGTCATAGCAGAAACTAATTCCTTGAGCGCATATAGATTAAAGAACTGCATTTGGCCGTCTCATATGTTAGGACAATAATTATTGCAAGCGACTGATATGATAAATCTACTTTGTCGATCGAACGTCGGCTAAGATGTATATTGATTCGGTCAATTAGATGTGACGCTTTCGATCCGTATTGAAGTATTTTTATTTCGCACATTGTTGACGCAAGCAAATGCTATCCTGTGGTTAGTAAAAGCATCCGAATTTATAGGGTTACAGTCATGACTTATAGCCCAACTAGAAGTGATAGAGTTGCTTTCTTAAACCTGAATAAATGTATAAATAATGATTTCTTCAATTGTTCAAACTGCGGCCCCCATGTCAACATTAATTATTGTAATAATTTTTTTTTCACGCTACGCAGTGCCTTTCTTCCATCTTTGAGCATGTGAAACCATTAATGGTATTTCACCAGTTTGAATAATTTTGCCACAGTTCTTACTTACTGGTAATCAAAAACAAAACAAAAGTTTTTTATGTCACGTGATCTCTATTAGTGGCTTGTTCTATATCCCGTGACGTAAAGGGCCTCGCGTGTAGAGATACCTTTACGGAGCTTTCATTCCGATACCTTCGGTCACATCATTCTCATTAAGATAATTTGCCAATAAATGCACTTTCAATACCACTAATATACTATGCGAATAAATTGATCCTGCCGTGTGATTACAGAAACAACCTCGGCGGTTATCATGAAACAAACTGCGCGGAAGGCGAATTGCTCCGGGAAGCATTAAACATGTGTGATTAGGAGGACATAGCACAACTACATACCCTCGTGAAGTTTCCCCTTCACTTATTGAGAGCCTCTGTGACAGCAGTCAACTCATTTTTTGCATGTAATGCATAAAACTTTGAACAAGGAGAGCACACTCGAAAATATGTCGCGCGTCGTCAGTTTGCCACACAGCCTCACCCAATTATGCGTTGAATGCAGTCGGTAAGGAACAGTTAGCAATTGTAACAGCATGCAGAGGCGTCCTTCGTCTCAGCTTGCATCAGTTCGGATTAGCGAACCCCGAGATCATCCGTATATCGAAAACCGTGTTCAGGCGTAATCAGAGTTCTAGAACAGCACCTACTTTTACGGTGCGAGCCGTGAACAGTCAAGTGCGACGCTTAACACGTTGTGTTAACGGGTCGCTGTGTGCATATTGTTCGCAACATTTTGAAATGAGACTATACAGCCTGCAAGACGTTGTTTAAGTGGTGCGCTTCATGCCATAGGTTTTATTGAAGGAAGATTTTGTGAAATCGCTGAATTTCTCAGCAGTCTTGCAACCGTAACCAACACAAGTGAGCATCACTATGCAATCAACGTGTACCAGCACAAGCCGGAAAAAAAAGAATACCGAGTCATCCTTCAACGAAAATATATGTATTGAAATCCGTTACATCACGCCGACATTCGCGTACATACATTTTGGCGCGAAACATTAAGTACGAAACTCTGACCATCATTTCATAGTTTAATAATGTGAAGCCAATGACAACCGCGGCGTCACTAATACTTTTGCAGTCTAAACTGGTTCATCTTCTTACATTAGTGTACCGTTCAACAAAACCGAAATGTTTCTATAGCCTATGGCCATGCAGAATTTCGAGCTAAACGTGGCAGCTCTGCCGAAAACGAAATTCATTCAGGAACTCCGTGTTTTAACTAGTGAGTGTAGTTTCTCGTACCCGAGTGGCACGGGTATAAAGCTATTACCAACATGACAAGGGGACAGATGAGACAACAGGTTTCCGAGTGCGGTCAAGACAGCTCACGGCCTTAGAAACGCTTCTTCTTCCTTCGTCGAGGGGCGCTCTGCGAGTCCTCGAGTGGTTCGTCAGACACTTCCATCCAGTCGAGCATCGGTGCTTGCAAGGGTGCCTGCTGTGCTTGTGTCGGCTCCGGCGCCTTGTACAGGGCTCGCAGAGCCCGCTTGCCGGACAGGTCAAGCTGACCATCGAAGTACATGTCGTTGATGTAGAAAAGGAGCCGATCCACTTTCTCCGGGAAAGTGCTGATCTGCGCCTCCAGTGTGGGCGGCTTGGAGGTCTCGGGTTCGAGGTCGGCCGAGGCCAGCCCCAGGAATCCCTTGAACTTCTTGCCCACATAGCTGACCATCTCGAAGTCGTTGCACTGCTTCTCGACGTCCTCTTTGACGGACTGGAAGGAACTGATGATGAGCGTGACGAAAATGTTGAGCAGGATGACGGAGGTGACCAGGGCGAAGACGAAGAAGACGAACGGTCCCACGACCGGAGAGGCCATGGCGATGTCGTCGAATTTGAACTGACCTCGCGCCATGTCGAACGCCGTTTCGGCGGCCGTGACAAAGGTGGAGAACTCCGCCATCTTGGTTCCCAACAGAATGTAGAACACCTGAAATGGTAGATGCACGGCAGGCCA